TTTTTTTCTCTCAGGCTTGTTAGGTGGACTTCCAGGCTCGTTTAGTCAACGCACTCCCTCCCCCCTCCCCCCCACCCCTTGCTGCGAAAAAAGAAAAAAGAGAGAGGCGCGCCAGATTCATGGCTTTTTGTGTGTGTCCACACCTGTTTCTAAGGAACCTGCATTGAATAATTCACCACCGGTGGACCAACTTGTAAAGCAGGAGGACATGTGAGGCTCCATCCAACGAAGCTCCTCACATGATCCTAGGATATCATCAGGGACGCCTGATGACGTACCTGCAGGTTCCAATGATGTAAACAATATTGTTGCCGACTTCTTCACCTTGCCGTTCCCTCTCAGGGCCGTTTCTCAGGTTTCAGGCAGCGCTCTAAGCCGGTATTGTAATCACTAGAGTGGACTGCCGCAACTGACTCAGCTCTTGCGAGCCTCAATCTAAGTGTTTTAATAGGGGGGCCCTCAACCATCCTCAACCCATGGGTTTTGGGTCTATTTCCCTTCTTCCAGGGGGTCTTCGGGAGGTCTCCCTCTTTTGATACAAACCCATATGATTCAGGGACGAGATGGCAAGGCTACAAGGTTGCCATAGATGGAGTCTGTCCTTAGCCGCTGCTGTTTCAACAGGTTTTCAGAGAGAACCAAGACAATGCTAGAGCATCGTTTTGGCAATTTAGAGGCACTCCACAATCTATTGAATTTGTTGGCTTTTGTTTTGCGGCCTTCTTCCAATAAGGTTGGATCAACAACAAATACTTCATGTTCGTTTCCGACCTCCAAGCAATTTCCTGCCGGCTTTTCTGAGGTGACACTGCGCTTGGGCGGGAGATACCAGATCCTGGGCGATGTGATCAAACAGTTTTTGGTTGCAGCGATTTCAGAGTAGATGGTACAAACGCCAAGATGTCTTTAGACCACACAGACCTCCTTTTGGGATTGTGTCATCTACTCTCAATCCACTATGTACGTTCCTTGGTTTGAAAATTATTGAGGTTTGGACCGTTTTTGGAAGGGCAGAGGGGTGGATGCCGGGGGTAAGCCTGTGCTACAACTATAGAACAGATGTCTAGAGACATCAGGGCCACCACCACCACCATCACCAGCCCTCACTGCTTAAAGGCCCCAAAAAGACATCAGACGAAATCATGAAATCCAGTGGACCATCGAAGGAACAGAGTGGAGGCTTACATTGCCACACTGGCGAGTGCGGCAACACTGGGCTCCATGGATGAAGTCGAATGAGAGTTAGACCACCGAGTTTCGGGCAGGCATGTGACAATGTGGCATTGAGTCGAAGGAGAAAATGGACACGGATGGACAAGGTCAATTACTTCTATATATAAGCTATTAGATATTATATATATATATATAAAGTATATATATATATTGTTTGTTTGTTTGTTCGTTATTACTTATTTAAACTATATCACAAATTACCCACCGCTGCTGGGATGCTGTGTATCCCGCCACTCAGTATGAAACTGCCATGACACGCAGCAAGGGAATTGGGTGGAGCTGTCAAGATCCGGTGCGAGGTATGAGCTTCATTGTGGTGGGCGTGGTCATCGGTGTCCACAATCAGATGAATTCCTTCACCGTTGTGATCCTCTCGTTGAACTTAGGTGTGACAGCAACTGGGAAGAGCAAGAATAAACTGAGAAGACGAACTTATGAGCGGTTTCAGGTTGTTGCTGTTACTGCAGCAGTGGTTGTTGTTGCTGCTTAGTTAGTCAGACATGATGAGCTTTTGCTCCGTGGATAACCCGGAGGATTAGACATTTTGGTCTAATCCTCGGGACACCTCTAAGAAACACACATCCAGCAATATATTCAAAGCGCTGGCCCAGAGTCGGCTGCGCAGCGGTGGCTGCAAGGCGGAATTGCTGGCGATGTTAAAATTTGAGGCCAGCATCGCCGGCATCACTTTCTGGAAAACCTCAGGCTTCTAAGACCCCCACAAACCGCTGTATGGACCACCCTCGATACACATTCCCCACAGTCCGAAGGATTGAGAAAGGGCTGGGTGGACCGCCGCCAGGCGCCATGGAAGCGACCGCCACGTCAACTGCCAGACCTGTTCAGTGAAGTTCAAATTTTGTGGGGGATGGTAGCAGGAAAGGATGGAGAACACATCACTTCCGCCAGACCTGGCTATGTAGTCTTAATGTGCAACAAGTTTTCGCGGGTGTGCTGTTGATTTGTGTATAAGAATGGTCGAATCCCTTTCTTTACTTCAGCTGTTGAAGGGACTGGAAGTCTTGGTGAACCATTCCCCCCTAGGCGACTCAGGGACTGGCGAACAGTTTGCAGAGATGCTGTGCATTACGACAAAGCTTTCCAGATCTATTCAACATCTAGGCTGTCAGTGATGGGTCACACTTTTGTACCAACGATCAACACTTTCCAAAAGACAAACAGCTTATCCTATTAGGAAGTGACGGCTCGAACTTGACCTGCACCAGAATGATCATCATGTTTGCAAAGGAAATTTTTTTTGGAATTCCCCACCATGGAACTCTGCTGTCCGTGCCTTTCATCCGACGCCTGACGAACAAAACAGCACTTGGCGCCTAGGCGATCATGTTTCAGATGATCTGGTATGGATCAAAGGCAGCTTTCAGGGGGAGAGGAACATGGAAGAACTATCGGCGAACCGCTTCCGGCGACAGAACTGGGGACACAGGAGGGGCCCCCAGGTGTGGTGAATTGATTAATTGGGCAAGTAATGAACTATAGTTAGGAGAATGTTTTTCAAAGGCCGGGGAGAGACCAAAGTATTTGGAGGGGGGGTTTTGAATAGAGGGATTATGGGTGCCCGTTTGGGAGCTTGAACAAGTATCTTTTTTGGTAGGACTTTATAATATTTATAGATAATTTTATGACGGATCTTTTGGTTGTGGCTTTGGATTTCTGGGTGATTTGGGGTGATCTGTGGCCAGATCAAGAGCAATGAGATTCTTATAAAGAGAGCAAGCAAACATATTATTAGGAGTGCAGTGGTTGGAGTTTTGAGTTTTTGGAGTTTGGTTAATTAGTGGAGCTATGCGCCCCCCACATGAAAGGTCAACAAGGTCAACAAGGTCTGAGGTATGTGCACAGGAACCATAGGATGAGGGATTAACCATACTAACTATATAATTGGTCTGGGAAGTGGAGGTTGGCCCCCAAAGAAAGGCAAGAAAGGCAGTTAGTCTTGGAAACAGCAATTGCCCCCCAAAAAAGACGGTGGATGAAACTAATTGGGGTGGGTAGTGCAAAGTTTTCAATTTTTTGGGCTACAGTAGGTGTTTTTTTGAAATGCGCTTAGTATTGGAGGCCCTGAGGCGGACGAAACCAACAGGAGGGGAGGGAGTATGTTAATCCCATGCTTCCATTTTATGCACCCTATTACATATATATGCACATAGCCTTAGCTATATTTATATGCATATATAATAATCATCTATATATATATGTATACATACTTAAGGGATCTCCCTTCGTTACCCTGGAATAGGGGAAAGAGCAAATAGTCCCAATAGGCTTGATTGTTCGTGGTCATGAGGATTCTCATTTTTGAGAGACATCCACGAAGACCAAGTCACTCGAAGCTTAAAGCTGCTTGGACAGTCAAAGACTGGGACATCGGATAGGATCCCCGTTCCACCTCACACGACTTGCGTTATGATGTTCCCCGAGATATGGGTTCAATCCTTAATCCCAGCAGGTCCAGGACCGTCCTGAACAAAGGTTAATGAAGATTTCTGGAACGCAGTTCACATCCGGATCAAATTCAGTCCTGGACCTTGGACCCTCTTCATCACACTGATTGCTTCTAAGACCTCTGATTGTTGCCAGACCATCCCATGTCCGGCGCGAGGCCAACGAGAACTTCGGCCTCTTAGCGAATAACATCTGCCGGGCGCGGTGGCGAAACTCGGCCGCTCGGCGCAGCGTGGACGGTTTCAAAGGATTCGTGGGTCCATGGTGTTGCAAGTAGTAACTTAGTAGCTTCTATTAGGTTCTTGTTACTAGTAGCTATTTGCTTCTAGTAGTACGGCCAGGAGCCCCGATCGTAGCGTCCTTACGCTCCTAGTAGCGATGCCAGGAGCCCCTAGTAGCTTCAGTATGTTTTCCACGGTGTTCTCTTGCTTTCAATTATTCAATTGCATTTAAGTGTTTAGTGTTTGGGGTGAGTTTGGATGGCGATCCAATGGTTTGACAGTTGGCGACTTTTTCGACAGGTGAAAACGTGGTGCTCAAAGGGTCGATGTTCAACGATAACACTGGGACTCAGTAGTCTTCCTTTCGGGACCATGCCATCCACTTCCATGTACAGTTAGAGTGTACACAGGCTGCGGCTGGAGGAATCTCCTACGATAGGCGATGACTTCATTCGATATCTTCAGTGTGGCCCAGGACGATGTTTAGCAGACCCAGAGGTTCGACGAACACTTGGGGTAAACGCACCAGCTAAGAATCACCTCTTTCAATGCGCCTGTTTCTCTGGGGGTCTGGCTCCTGGAGCTTCAATAATTTAAGCCATTGCTTTCTGTGCTTTGGAGATGAACTCATGACTCGTGCAAGGCGCATTGCAGAATCTGGCAGCATACTATTCTTCGTTCTGAGCCAAAATACAAAGGCGTAGCAGTGCCAGAGGATTTTTGGCCGTTGATTCTGGCAGGTGGTGAAACGGCGGAGAGGTTTTGACCCATGTCGTTCCGCTCAGGTTCAGAAGGAGGACGAGGACTGTGAGCAGGCGACGGCGGGGGCGACATAGCTCGGTGGCACCGTGGAGAGTTCATTCGCAAGTTCGGTGGAAACGTGACAGGGAACTTGGGTAAGGCAATGTGTTTTCCAATGTTTTCCATCATGAGCGAGGAGAAGATAGCTAAGCTTTCACAAAAAGGGACCGTAACCGGCATTTCGCCAAAGACTGTTTGGCAGGGGTGTGGCTGTTGAGCAGCCAAGTCAGACATAATTCTGGATGCTACCTCCCAGCAAGCACCAGCCGAACCAGATCCAAGATGTGCTGCGGGTTCTTGACAAGGCAGTCGACTTGGTGGGACCCACTTTGAACCTTTTGAACAGTGAGCCGCAAACAAAAACAGAATGCAAAACAGATCCGCGCGTGCTATACTTTAGACCTGCTTATTTTCAATGCGCATCAATGCATGTTCTTGCTGGCAACTGGCTGTCGCCGGAAGCCTTCGAACAGCCTGGTTTTGGCTTCGCTGGCTGTAGCCTTGCGCCATTGCGCAGATCAATCCCAAGTTGGACAAACAACTACGACAGGGACCTGGAACGAATGGTACGTCAGGCTTTAAGCTCAAGAAGATGAATACGGATTTGCAATCGTGACACAATGACACTTCCAGAGAATCGCACGAAAAGCTGTGTCACAGTGCTTCATGATGCCCAATTATGAGGTGCTGCTGAGCATAACTTTAATTACGGTGCACGGTAGGAATACCTTGGTAGGACAACTGCCGTAGTACGCGTGGTACGTTGACCGATGTGAAGGACGTTCAGGAGTTGCAGAGAGTTCACCTACGCCAGCATTTGTGGGCTCACGATGCTGGTTTTCTCAATGTGTTCTCCAGCTTAAGGCTTTGGGGCAACAAGTTTGATGAGGTACAATGTCAAAGACATGTCGAACATGGTCGAACTCGCTTTCGGTACTCCCCCCTGGGTGACCGGTTTCTTCATCCGCCACCTGGTTTCCATTTCTTCAAATCCAAGTCCTGAAGTTCTGGTTCCGTGGCACCAGATGAACCAGCCATGTCCAAGTCCGGACATCATGGTCCGATGAGTCCCGGTATGAAAAGCAATCGAGCATCATAATCTAAGATTGTGTATCGCTTTCGATGGTAGTTTTGATGGTTTTTGTTGGTTGCCGCACATGCCGCACATGAGCCAAAGACACCACAAAAAACATCAAATCAGCGCCCCCGAAAGTCAGCTCCACTGGCTGTTGATGTTCACCCGAAAAACCTCACGGGGCGGGCTGTCCGTCGATTGCGGGCAGCTCGCACCGGCAGGTGATGAGCTTGGCCATGGAGCGGCTGGCGATCCTGTGCGAGACGGAGCCGGCTGGGGCTCCCCGGACGGAACCGGTCTGTGTCGGACGTGTCGGACATCCGGCCAGGTCGATGTCGGCCCACCTGGCCAGGTCGACCTTGGCGATATCAGGGTTACCTGGCCTTTTGTTTTGCCAAGAGGATGCATGATGTAGGCATGAGAGGCCTGGGTGACCTTGGATGTTGTATGAATTTGTATGATGTTTTTGTTTGCCGTTTGAGTCGTCTGTCCTCCTTTGCACCATGTTGTACTTTCTCGTCTTGAAGAGCACCCCGCCTTGAATCCTTTGTTAAATCTGGGTCAAATCATGGTTCGGTTAAATCTTGGTTTTCTCAAAGGGCAGTATGTTGGTTGCCGCTGGTACTGGCGCTGCATGGCTGTTCATGTAAACGGTTTGGAAACAAACAAAGATCATAATCAACAAATTTGTGAGCAGTTGGTTTGTTTGTCGTAAAAAACGACAGACTAAAGAACTACAAGGAATATACTCATGAGCGTCCCAAATAGTCCAGCAGTTTGTTCCTGCACTGGTCCCCAAACCTTGCTTGTCACTCCCACTTCCCGGAGAATGCTGCAGCGGCTTGCCAACAGTCTTGTTCTGAGGAGTTCAATTGGATTCCTCTCTTTGCATATTAAACCAAAGGCTAGTTGTCTTGGGTTTTCATTTGGGAGTAGATGCAAGACCCTGTCCAATTCTTTCCAATCCTTTGTTTTTTTAGGCTTTCAGCATCTTGCAGCGGATAGAAACACAAAGCGACATAAAGACTGAGGGGCTGCAGGTCGTAGGCCGTTTGGTGAAAAGGCCTGCTTTCGTTTGTCATGACCGTCTTGCTACCTGATGTTGTTCTTCATTAGCAGGTGAACTTGGGTGGTACTCTCCCTGGAACCAACACGAAAGTGGAAATGGCCTCTTGGAAGAGCATGTCCTCTACAAGCAGAGGTTGTTTCACTTCCATGTTAGTTCCAGCGAGAGTACATGGAAGGTCTTCTGGTCGCCAGGTCAACATTGCCGGGACAGTGCCCACCTGCGACCTGGGCTACAGCTTGCTGTCAGTGGACGCTTGCACATGGACGTGGTGTGGGGGTGCACATGGAAGTGGGACCCAAATAGTAAGGCCAGGAGCCCCGTTCGTAGCTTCGGCGCTCCGCCCTGCCGTACGTTTCGTCTTTCAACGGGAATACCAGAGAAATCCATTGAAAGAATCCATAGAAATCTCCCATCCCCAAACCAAGAGTGGAACCCGCAAGAGTTGACAGATTGACTTCTACCAGGTGGATGCTAGGTTGTTTTGATGCATCAACTGATAGACCAATGGATTGTCCTTGAGCCCTGGTGACCCGATCCCCAGTCAGGAAACTGTGCGGACTTCTACTAGACGGGTCACCGAACAGTCATGAGCAGCTAGATGAGTTGTTCCCAAGGGTCGGAGATTTCTTTTTTCTGAGTAAAGATGAAGAAAGGACATTTAAGTGGGGCACTTGCATACAGTGGGCTACATGAGCAGCTAGATGTGCTCTTGGGCATGACATGCGCGCGCATGTCATGGGCTACTTGTATCGCCTAGCTACGTGTACAACTCCATCAATTCTCACCTGAGCTTTGCGGGTTTCTACACATGTCAGGTTGCAAAGCCGTGCACATGCCTGATTGAAGCTGCATGAAGTTAAAGTAATAATATACAGTAATACATTAGAAAGAATTTGTAAAGGTGTTGAAGAGTGCCGACCTTGCAGCAGATGAGTTGCCAGCACAGAAATTCGGAAAGAAATGATTCCCCCAGGGCCCAGAAATGTCGGTGAACTCGCAATGCATGCAAAAAACTGGTAGTACCACCATGTACCACGTTAGCGCACAGGCATCAGGTTGAGAGTCTGCACAGGCATGGCACAGGTCTGTGTGTTGAGGCTGGCACCATTGTGGCCTTTGTGATTGGGAAGCTCTACAACTGGGACATCCCCGCCTGAGTACCACTCCAGCGGATCTCCGAGCTCGGAGATCCGCGCGACATTGGAGCGGACACGAGTCCGAAGCGCTCCAAAAGATGTGTTGCGGACGACGGGTGATAATTGGCAAGGTTGAAGAATGGACAGTTGGGGCCAACAAGACATGTCGTGCCAACTAGATCACCAGAACCATCCAGAACCACAGAACAAACCAGGACCTGAACGTCGAGACCGAACGCTCGTTGTTCTGCCTTCCAGGACCTGTGTTATGACTTCATCATCTCTGCCGAGGTGGTCTATCTGGAGGAGTCGAGAACTGGCCCTGCGGTGTTCCTTGGATGCGAACGTCGACATGTCTTGAAAAATCGCCATGGATCTAGGATGCTTGATATTAGAGGTCCTGAGTCCTGTACTTTTCCCAAACACTCCATGGGACTGCCATATATGCCACCCCTGGCCTGATCGGCATATGGCAGTCCCATGGGTCGTGTCTGGGTTTAGTAGTTTTGTTAGTCAGTACTTTCAGCTGCCGATCCTGCGCTGCCCGTCGGACTGGAAGGATCCGAACGGTGTTCGGTGTCTCCGACCGGTCAGCGCCAGTGCATAGCTTCAAGCACAGAACCCTTCGCGTTTGTTTGGATCGCATTGGATTACATGTGTATCATGTGTCCATATTTTTTCCCACCCAAGAGCCTTGAGCTCAGGTGATCGAAATCTGGCTGAAAGCACTGTGTTTTTGCACAAACAGTTTCCTTAGGTGATCCGGAATGTGGTCCAACAGAAAACAAATTCATCCTGATTCATCGTTGGTCAACATATGGTTTTTCCATATTGGTCAACATAGAGCCTCTTAAACCGGCCCTAGACTCGCCATCCGTTGATCCCAGTTGTTGATATTTGGCCGCCCATCATCCACTCATCGCCGACACCCGGGACCCGCCAGCCGACCCGCCGAGACCCGATCAGCACGGGCCCTTGAGGCCCTCCATGAAAGCGGATCTCCAAGGGAGAGCATCAGAGGGAACCATCATAGAACTATATCGACCTTTATTCTGAGGTGGACCAAATAATTACACATGGAACCGTTCCTTTCTTTCATTTTTTTTGATTGTGCGATGTGTGTGTGTGTTACCTTCGAGCGTCAAGTTCTTCCACCAGTGGAACTCCATGGGTCAACATGAAAGTCGTGAAGGCCGCCACGACGCGTCGGGCTGAACAGAACCTGTTCCTTTGGAGACACAGAGCATCACAGAACAACATGAAGATGTGTTCAGTCGGCTGAAGTCTTCAGATACTACTACAAAGTTCTGGTATATTTGGCTAATCATGGCTAAGCATATTCACTGTCGGCTGAAGTCGTATGCAGTTCTGTTTGTTGTTTACTCTTTTGTTCCTGAAGTGAAGTCGTTCAACGGCACCACCTTCATCCACGGAGTCCACTGTTCTGGCGCACGTCTCCGAATTTCCGAGGTGATTTCCACGCCATTTTTGCACCGTTGCACCGTTGCACCAAATTGAACAAATAACCAACGTACATACGAATCATACGACGCACATGTTTGTCATAGATAAGTGTTCGACTGAAAGATCATCACCACAAAAAAAGCACAGAAAGGATACTGTAGCCATTTTCTGGTCTTCTTTGAATGCACCATGGGCTTCCAAGATGCCGAATGCAAGGCGGGGGGCGACGGATTGGATGCCCTTTTTTGTTTGAAGAAGCCCACTCGAGCCGACTGGAACCAGACTGGAACTACTAAGTGTTTTTGCACATTGGGGTAGAATATGTTGCTTCATGTTGCTTCATTTGGTTCATGTTTGTTGGACGGAGGGCGTTTTGAGTGTTGCAACCTTTTGAGGGATGCCGCCTCTTATGGCATTGATTTTACATGATTTGACTGTACAATATTTATCAATATTTTACATATCTAATGCTTCCCAAACTTTCCACTTCAACTGATGCATTGCCAACAGCAACTGTTCAGCCATTGACGTGCGTTCAAAACCCACGCGTGGCAGCCAGAGCTTCTTCACACCCTGTAGGAAATCCAGAACCTCCCCAGTCACTGCAAAACCTTTAAACCTTTTTGGGGATTGGTTTCCCCACAAAAAATAAAAACAGTTGGCAAAAGGTGAACATTCTTTTTTCAGGGGAACTTTGTGGAGTCAGAACCGCCTTCGAATGTCTCGTTTGACGAATCGACCATCGTCGACATAGGACTCGTGTCATTGCACACCTGGATCTGGACTGCTTCTATGTGCAGGCGATGACAATCAACTAGTGCCCGAAACAGAGTAAACAACCATGAAAGTTGTACGACCCGGGAATTTTCAAAATTGTCAAGCAGTTTCTAGGTTGTCAGACTGGTCAGGTTTTGATTGCATGCTCATGTTTTAACTTTACATGATGTAACCCGCCTGGTGTGTTTCTTTGAAATTCCAGAAGCGCCCATTTACTTGTAAGGTCAGACATGCGCCATGCATGTATTTATATTTATATATATATGTCAGTACAGTATAGTTCGTGTCTTCTACCCACACTGGTTCGAGCCTACTCGCTGGTTCCAGCTGCGGCACCGTGACCGCACGATGTCCTGGACGAACGACACCGAGGTCGAGCAGCGCCGCTTGGGCATGGGCCGGCCACCCTGGACCTCCAGGAAGATCTGCGGACGTGAAATGGGTTAGTGGAAGCCAGAGGTGGAAGATGGTCGAAGTGAAGAGATGGGTAGTGATATGGACACTTCAAAGCCCCCAAGACATGGGTGGCATTGTGGCCGTTGTTTAAAAGCGTTTTAATGAAGTTCGATCCCAATCTTGTGGGATGGGCCATGGGTCAAAACCACAAAGCAGACCAACTGAGCCAAGCCATTGTTGACTCACCCTCTTGGTCGAAGATACATGGGATGAGACCACAGCCCAATGCGTCAACTCGTTGACTCCAGGGACTCCCCGCCGGCCGCGGTTCAGCAGCCGGAAGTCCCAGCAGTTCAATGGCGGCAGGACCGGGAAGATCGGTGGTGAAACATGAATTAGAAGTGAACATTGGCCACAGATGGCTATAACATGCTAGAACCCATTGTCATTTGAGGTCAATTTCAGACCATCATCCCATAAGTATTGATTGCTATGCTCCGAGTGATGATGAAAGGACTTGGGTTAAGCCGTCCTGTTTTTCGTCCTGGACGGCTAGCCTAGGCTGATGAAAAAAAGAAAAAACAATCCAAAAACAGAAAAACTCGTCGTGAACATGACAGCGTTTTGCCATGTTTGGTAAGCTCGGTTCACATCCATCACCTCTGGCAGGCCGAGTTGGAACATGCTGATGTTCAAACGCCGGAAACGGGAAGTTCGCACCAACTGAGATTGGGTTAGACAGTTATAGACATGTTTCTTATCCGCTTATCCATTATTATCCAATCATAGTGATACAGAATGTTCCCGGCTTTGTTTAGAATTCCATTAATAATCATCACGCATCATCACTCATCATCGCTCATCATCACTAGCATCGGGCAGCATTCTGCTGGCCGGCACGCAAAAACACTCCGATGTTTTCCCAGGTGGGATGGCTTGATCGCCGTGAACTATGCAGCTCGCGCGGCCGGCGTCAAGCCGGGGGGCCCTTTCCAAGCACTCACTCGGACGGTTCTTCCATCGGTTTGATGTTGGGAAACGGTGACGGTTTTGACGATCTGGTCGTTTTCGTGCCTGCTCTGCAGGTGTTTCCACACATGACATGCAGCGGCAGCAACACTGGCAGTGATCTTCCCCTTCGGTGATCTTCCCCTTTCATTTGTTGTATCTTTCGGGCAATGTTGAGTAAAAGGTGTGGATTTCCGTCAAACCACTGACCATATCCACTTTCAGACCAGCCTGTGGTGGTATGACGCATGCGCATGCGCGCACTTTGAGTCTCGCCTTGAGGGCTGTGCACACGCCGGAATTCCAAAGAATGTCCCAACATGCACCACTTCGCTGCGCAACGCCGTGACGCTACACCGAGGCGCGGCATGCGCGCGGCCGACGCGCAGAAAGCATGCCCCAACATCGTGCTGGTGCATGTGGAGACCATCAGTGAAGGCACCGAGGAGAGGTCACTTTCCCGCGGCCGAAAACGGTGGGTCAGTCATCGGTCTCTTTCCCCTTCCGCCAGACCGTGACGGCGGTGTCATTCCATGGTGTTCTGTGGGTGTCATGTATATACATACACTGTAAGTCAGTGGTGCTGCAAAAGAGGAACGAAGGGTACCAACTATGATACTTACCATGCATGGTTACCAGGTGTTTCGTTCTTTAGGGGGCATTCCAGCTTGT